GGGGGGGGGGGGGGGGGGGGGGGGCAAGACCCCCTGACGACTCTATCACCATAAACTATGACGACCCCCCCCCAAATCCGCCATTGCACTTACCATCTTTATCTCTCAGGGCGGCGTACGGCGTGTCTTCCTGTGCGATGTTGACAAGACGTCCCAGCGATCTGTCGTATTTCAGAACAATATTTGGACCGCCAAACCTGAAAACAAATTTAACATTGTTTTAAAACTAATATATCTGAATTTTTTAGGGAAACACACAGATTCATATTCGGTTCAAATAGTGCTTAGAAAAAATTGTTTTAACAATTTAAAATTGTCAAATTGAAAAGCTGGAAAATCAGTATTTGCGAAGTGTCATGAAAAGGAGAATGCCTAACGATTCCCCAGACCTATTACTACTCAATCTAAACGGACTGCTACAGAATTATCCTGAATTGATGGTCCTTACGTTCATACAAAATTTCGGTCTAAATTTCTATTGTGAAACGGGCTCCTGGTGAGAGACAACAAAAGTTGAGCCTTACCCAGCAATGACAAAATCAAACTTCTTGTCGAGGTCGACGTCTGTCACAGCGACGCCGTAGTTCAGCTGGGTGGTGGGGATGCCGGACAATCCCCACTCGTCGGACGTACGTCGGAACATCCCCTGAGCTGTCGTCTGCTTAGCAATGGCGGCCAGGCAGGCAAGGGACAGTATCTGGGATAACATCTGGAAATTATATTCTTTGATTAAAAAGAGAAGGCAGTAAATTTACTCCCGTATGATTTTATTTTTCAAATATGACAAATATTACATTCCAGAAACATACACGCCTATTATTTTGTTGGTTTAAACTAGGCCTATGTCTTTTCTGGACCACGCACGCACACAATCATGCACATGCAGAAACACGCTCGCACATTTCTCGGTTAGAGGGCGCAGAGTCTACAATAAAATAAACACACGCACACACGTAGACGCACTAAACATGCATATGACCCTTACAGAATCAGCAATAACTATACATGTAGATCATATGCCTTCTAAATACCTGGGGCTGTGACAAAGCCCTGCTAACATACTCAAAATAGCCACTGGAGGTCAAATGGTAACGTAGCGCAATGTGTACATAAAATCAATGACAGCGGAACAAGGAGTATTCACTGACTATAGGATTATACCCCGGTGATGATTCTCAGTGCGGTATAGTTAAGCTGGTGAGTGCTTCAGGTTAACACAGCGAGTATTTACCTTAAGTCCTCTTTCGTTTAGAAAATGATGAGTTGCTTCGTGTTTCACCTCACAGCGTCTTTGAAGTACCTTCACATTGACTGGCCCGCCTTCACTCTCTCTAATAAATAAAGCGTATTGTTTTATAACGCCGTTTTATAACACTTAATTGAAACCGTATCGGCTACTATCGCGCATGTCCGTCAACGTGACGGCTTACACAACCGTCCTTTCATAAGAAAACCGTTCACATATTCATGACCAACCCACGTTTATCTGATGTCACATCAAGCAATGCGTTAAAAGTAATGTCGCAGGGAAAGTTATCTAAGTTCAGCGGTGCATGGCTGTAAATTAGAAGTATTGTGTGTGAGAAGGGGTGGGTCACAGGACAGGGAATATAACGGCTGACACCTCCGCGGTGTTGGTATTATCTTAGAGGTGTGATATCTGGGATTATCTCTCAACATAGTGTATATTGAACGTGGTGGGCATCAGATTTGTGTGTAGTAGCATTTGCGTGTTTGTACGTGCTTGTGCGCGAGGGCGAGCATGTGTGCGTGTGTGTTCAGGCGTTTAGTTGAATGTGTTTGTCAGTGCGTATACGCGTAGCGCAAGTCTATTTGATACCTTATGTTGGCACATGTACTTGTGCGCACGTGAATTTGCATGCGCGCTCACGCACATGCAGAGAGAGTGAGAGACTCTGAATTATTCATATGTGAAAACGGTGATGTGTTATTTTGACTCCAAAACAAATGAATAGTTTATTGACCGAGAAACATTTTATCGACAAAATCATATGCGAACGTCTTAAAAATTGTTTCTCTCAATGTCCTTGCAGGGCGGGAGAAGATGGAGAGGTATATCGATTTGATTCAATATGATTAAAGGCATAATAACTCTTTGTATNACCCGCCTTCACTCTCTCTAATAAATAAAGCGTATTGTTTTATAACGCCGTTTTATAACACTTAATTGAAACCGTATCGGCTACTATCGCGCATGTCCGTCAACGTGACGGCTTACACAACCGTCCTTTCATAAGAAAACCGTTCACATATTCATGACCAACCCACGTTTATCTGATGTCACATCAAGCAATGCGTTAAAAGTAATGTCGCAGGGAAAGTTATCTAAGTTCAGCGGTGCATGGCAGTAAATTAGAAGTATTGTGTGTGAGAAGGGGTGGGTCACAGGACAGGGAATATAACGGCTGACACCTCCACGGTGTTGGTATTATCTTAGAGGTGTGATATCTGGGATTATCTCTCTGTATATTGTACGTGGTGGGCATCAGATTTGTGTGTTGTAGCGTGTGTGTGTGTTTGTACGTGCTTGTGCGCGAGGGCGAGCATGTGTGCGTGTGTTCAGACGTCGACGTTTAGTTGAATGTGTTTGTCAATGCGTATACGCGTAGCGCAAGTCTATTAGATAACTTATGTGGGAACATGTACTTGTACTTGTGCGCACGTGAATTTGCGTGCACGCTCACGCACATGCAGAGAGAGAGAGAGAGAGAGAGAGAGAGAGAGAGAGACTCTTTGAATTATTCATATGTGAAAACGGTGATGTGTTATTTTGACTCCAAAACAAATGAATAGTTTATTGACCGAGAAACATTTTATCGACAAAATCATATGCGAACGTCTTAAAAATTGTTTCTCTCAATGTCCTTGCAGGGCGGGAGAAGATGGAGAGGTATATCGATTTGATTCAATATGATTAAAGGCATAATAACTCTTTGTATGATACCTATATTTCACAATAAAAACCTTGTGAATAACTCATAGAAATATAATATATTCTGTTTTACCACAAAAACAGCAGTTATAGCTTTTATTCTGATATTTGAACTTGTCTTTAGACCACGTAACCTCCATTGATGTCTATACTTTGTTAAAATCTCTTAAGAGATTTTAACAAAAAACCAAACTTTTTAGAAAAAAACCAGGGACTAACTTTGAATGTAAAAATGGATTCATTAACCATTGGTAAGCATGGGAAAATTGTTGTTTACTCCAGGAAAATTCATTTTTTGGCCGAAACAAAGAGTTATTATTGCTTTAATCCTTTCACTTACCTAGAGAAATAGTGATGCTCGTTAAAATTGCACAACCTTTCAAAGCTGATCCAATATTCACGAATATTTTATTCCAATAAGGTGGGAGCTATACATAAAACATTAGGATCCAAAGAAGTATCTAAAACGGGCCCGTAGCCAGCAATTTCAAAAGGGGGGTTCTTTTTTTGAAAAAGTGGACCTTTTCCCATAAAAGCTTTATGTACCCTGATCAAATTCTACCCAAAGTGGACTTTTTCCCAGCAAAAGGGGCGGTTCTTTTGAACCCCCCGAACCCCCCTGGCTACGGGCCTGCAAAAACCATAATTATGGTAATACCGCGAACCTTTCGTGTTGGTAGTGGCAATCTTTTATGGAAATATTCACTCGTCTTGTGGAGATTACATCAGGTTTTCACCAGTGGAAAAATGGCGGTTGAGGAATACCTCGTAATCAGTATGGCCGAGATCAGTCACCGTTTACATTTCACCTTTTATCATAACAGTTATATAGTGACGTACAACAGAAATGTTTCATTTGTTTTTTACTTGATGAGAAAGCAATTCATGTTAAAATATCATGCAAATTAATAATTACTTTCTTTAAACTTTCATGCGTGTTACACAGCAGTAGCAGATTTAGAGGAGGGGGGGTCAGGGGGTCCTGCCCCCCCCCCTTGATTTCTGAAAAAATCTAACCAAAGGTTCCTTCTTCAAATTAGAATTTTGACAAGCTGAATTATAGTTCTAAACTGCGCCAAATGTAGCTGTTCGCCCTCTAAAATACCAAAAATTTTCGGGGGGAGGGGGGGGGAGCGTCTGCTACGCACATGAACATGTCAATGAGTTAAAAATTAAAGTACAATATAATAACCTGCTGTTTGAAACTGACACATACTTTAGTGCAGAATAAATCATGCCAAAAAGTTGGAAGACACCTTTATGTATTTCATAAAAGACACAAAATACAGAGACATTACACTTGCATTATCCCAATTACTGTAAGACAAAGTTAAGTTTAATTAAAAAGCTAAGACATTCTCAGCAACTCTCATGTCTGTCTTCTAGAATCCTTTTTTCTTTACTTCGTTAAATTGAGAATTTTAAGCTTATGCTAAAAAAACAAATATTCAGAACTTCTCAACTATTCCTGAAGCAAAAGTAGGTTCACAGTGGTGATAAACAAAACAGGTACAGCATAGTTCCTGTCAACATGTACATACCATTAGAATAAATATATTAAAATTAATGACTAGTTTAAAAAATATCAATTTAGTACTACTAACCTAATTTTACTTTCTGTTTTAAGTTCAACTGCAATTTAATACTGTTGACTTATACATCATTTGAATTACAATTTTTTAAAATTTATTTCTCAACTTTATTTATTCACCAACTGTTTGGGTATTTAATGCCAAAATTCAACTGGCAATCATTTAACCTTCAAACTACTGCATCATGATATATGCATTTTTATACAATGAACTAAGCAAATGCATTTTTAAACAAAGCCACAGGATATGGTTGCTCTCCTGCAGGACCACAATCATCAAGTTTGTTTATAACCAATACCTGCGGTAGACCATTGCTATCCTGACAGACTGCAGTTTTACCATGGTCAACTTCTGTAGCATTCTGACCATGTGGTATCTGAACAGCTGATGCATCAGTGTGATCTTTTTCATGTAGATCACATTCACTTCTACTGACAAATATCTTGTCACAAAACTTACACTTGTAGGTTACTAGTATATCTTCAGTGTGTTTTTTTTCATGATGAATGCAAATCCATTGTTGAGTAAATTTCTTATCACAGTACTGACATTTGAATGGTTTCTCTGCAGTGTGAATTCTTTCATGAAGACTGCAGTTGTATTTTTGAATAAATGTCTTATCACAGTACTGGCATTTGTACGGTCTCTCTCCAGTATGAATTCTTTCATGTTTAGTACAAGACTGTTTGTAAGTAAATGCCCTATCACAATACTGGCATTTGTATCGTTTATCTCCAGTGTGAATTCTTTCATGTCGATTGCAATTCTGTATTTTCATGAATGCCTTATCACAAAACTGGCATTTGAATGGTTTCTCTCCAGTGTGGATTCTTATGTGAAATTTGCAATTATCTTTTTTAATAAATGTCTTATCACAGTACTGGCATTTGTATGGCCTCTCTCCTGTGTGAAGCCTTTCATGTTCAGTGCAATTCCCCTTTTGAGTAAATGTCTTATCACAATACTGGCATTTGTATGGTCTCTCTCCAGTGTGAATTCTTTCAGGGGCAGTGCAATTCATTTTGAAAGTAAATGTCTTGTTACAGCTCTGGGATTTGTATTTTCCCAATAAATGTTAACAATTTCAAATGGTAAAAAGATTCTGACAGAACTTTTGCTGGCTGACCACAGAACTTCAACATGCACAATTCTTCTCCCTGAATGTAATTGTGTCACAGCATATGCAGAAACTAGGTACTTGTGGGTGGTTTAATTGCTCTCAACTCAAGAATTCTTTATGAGAACACATTTTTTTGTTCTTTCCCACTACTGCCCTGATATTCGTACTTCTTTCAGTCTATGAACTGCTAATTAGTAGTAAACAAAGGTTTCTGGTGCGAATCTCCTATCACACAATGAACTTGTATATTTGTATGGAGTTCTTTCTCAAATAATCCAGCCCCTAAAAATAAAATGTGATGAAAAACAAAATTATTTCAGATGTTTCAATAACCTATACCGTGCCCAGTGCTGAACATAAAACTTGAATAACTTGACAGTGTGACATTCACACCATTATCCAGAGCCCAAGGTTGGCTTAAAGGGATAACATCTGTTCATTTTGGTCAAAATTTTAACTTTCCTGGGGTAAACAGCAATTTCCCCAAACCGATACTTACCAATGGTTAATGAATCCATTCCATGTACAAAGACTGCTATAAAAAGTTTCTTTTTCTGTAATATTCACATAAAAGATTATAATGGAGGTACCTAGTATTAATAGCCATCTATATAGGTACCTGTGGTCTGATGGCAAACACAGATTCCAGAATAATTGTGATAACTGCTGTTCTGGTGGTAACAAGTTATTTATGATATTTCTATGAGTTGTTCAATAATAATAATAATAATAATAATAATAATAATAATAAACTCAATTTTCATGTTGTTAACAGTATTAACTTAGTTTGGTATCCACTGGTTCTACTGGTATACTTACCCAGTAAGATATTGCTGTTGCCCTGGTAGAGGGTAGTAAGATTGCAGACTGCTGTGTAGTGTACCTCATTTCTTTAATAAATCTGTTGTCTCTATAACTGCACATGTCACATAAGGTATAATCATCAAATCATGGATGCTACCATACATCTAACTATATCAAATAAATAAGAATATAAATAAACAGAAAGATATAGCAGCACAATTGTATAGTATAGACATGCATGAAGAAAGCATTTATAATCACATGGTATGTTAGGGTTGATCCACTTGCCGAGCCACTTTGCTTACAGTGAGTGGATTGCATCCTAATATTAGAGGTTATTAGAATAATAATAGCAAAATTAATGATAAAATTATGAAAGAAATGAAAGTGATGATTAAACCTAAGCTCAGTTTGGAGTAATATTATATTGTCAGGAGCTATGAGCTGGGCTCTTAATTCTTTCCACATATTTTTTTACAAGTTTGATAAGTAACTTGACTATTTAATATTATGGCCATTTTTCCAGATCTCATTAGGGCTTTGAAGAGCTCATTGTATCATTTATGTATACAGTCTCCCCATGTACACGTACCTCTTGGTATTTTGGTACTTACGGCAAATGCGCGCTCTCCGCGCAGGGACAGCGTAGTGGGTAAAGGCAGGGCAATGTGCCGTCACAACAGTATTCTCACAAAAGATTAAATATCAAAAGAAATACAAGGATATAATAGACAGTCCAAAGCTTGACACAAAGAACTTCACTTCTGCACATGCGCAATTATATCCCGAAAGCAAGAAAGAAGCCCGTCAAATGTCAATTAATTCATTTTATTATTCCGAATTCATTCAGCATGTGTAGAGAGTGGTCGGGTCAAGACCTAGTTAAAAGTTTTTTCATTGAATGATTAGAGTTTCTTTAATGTGAAGTGACGTCATCAATACGTAAGGTGTAATTTAACTCATTTTGGGCTCTGGATAAGCGATTAAAAAGAGCCCGGAGTGGACCCCAGTCCCTTACGAATACGTTATTGGGCTAGGGATATATTGATCGTGCGCGGCGGATGAGATTTTCTGAACCTTTGTTTTGCCAGGAATTGGACACGCTAGGCTGCTGAAACTTCCGAAATATATGGATTGCATCTTCTCTAGGACCTGACTACTTTGAGGGACTGGAGAATTCAAAGTAAAAGGAAGTGGGGAAATGTTTGTATAGCTGAGCTGCAGAGATTTGCTGAGGTTAGTGATGGTCTTTTCTTTGTCATCTTGGAAGTACAAATTTCATGTAATATAGATGCCAAGGTTATTTGNATACAAGGATATAATAGACAGTCCAAAGCTTGACACAAAGAACTTCACTTCTGCACATGCGCAATTATATCCCGAAAGCAAGAAAGAAGCCCGTCAAATGTCAATTAATTCATTTTATTATTCCGAATTCATTCAGCATGTGTAGAGAGTGGACGGGTCAGGACCTAGTTAAAAGTTTTTTCATTGAATGATTAGAGTTTCTTTAATGTGAAGTGACGTCATCAATACGTAAGGTGTAATTTAACTCATTTTGGGCTCTGGATAAGCGATTAAAAAGAGCCCGGAGTGGACCCCAGTCCCTTACGAATACGTTATTGGGCTAGGGATATATTGATCGTGCGCGGCGGATGAGATTTTCTGAACCTTTGTTTTGCCAGGAATTGGGCACGCTAGGCTGCTGAAACTTCCGAAATATATGGATTGCATCTTCTCTAGGACCTGACTACTTTGATACTATTAGCTTAGGGACTGGAGAATTCAAAGTAAAAGGAAGTGGGGAAATGTTTGTATAGCTGAGCTGCAGAGATTTGCTGAGGTCAGTGATGGTCTTTTCTTTGTCATCTTGGAAGTACAAATTTCATGTAATATAGATGGCAAGGTTATTTGTTGTCTTCAGATGAATTAAAAATGAAAGAGAAACGGCAGTATTGACTTTTACTCTGAATATGTGAATTTCATCTTTTATCCACGTAGTATCCATTTGTATATATATAGCCATTTATAAAAACATAATCATTTATCTATTTATTTATTTCTGCAATGTTAAAGTCAGTTGTGCTTTCATTGATTGTACATTGTATGTGAAGGTGTTTATCAATGCAGAATCTGTATCTTGTTATTTCTATAATTACCTGACATCTTTATTGATTTTATTGCAGGGACTGGACAAATCAATATATGAAGTCATTAATTGCCTTGGGAATGTTTCTGTTTAGCTGAACTGCAGGCATTTGTAGAGAGCATTTATTAATCATCTGACAGAAGATTCCAAGAATTTGTGGACAGCTTTTGAAAACAGAAGAAAAAGTTGTAGAAACGACAGTGATTGCCTTAAATCTAAAAAAAATTGCATTTTTCATTAAATAAAAGAGAAATCACATTACTAGTAAACTATTTGTTGTGGCGAGAGATTTGTATGAAACCTCTTTGTATTAATTTACCAGATATAGAACACACATTTTAAATATTGTATAGATATCAGGAAAGTGGAGAGATAATAACCTCATAAGCAAAAATAATCAGCCTTTTTTATGAAACTCACACTCACATTGAAGAGAGCACTTAATTACAACTGCCGAAGAAATTGTGACTTTACCAAAAAGGGACATTTTGTTTGAAATCAAAGAATTCTCACTGAAAGACAAACAGAAAAAAGCTGGTAGATATTCTGTGATCAGTAACATCCAAGAAGAAATGGAGAACACCAAGAAAGAAGAGCAGTTGGGAGACTATGAGACATTTGCTGTTTCTCTAAAAAATACTTCTGTTCATAAAAGAATTCGCATTAGAAAGAAAGTACACAAATGTCAGTACTGTGATGTGACATTTGCTCATAAATCTAATCGTACTATCCATGAAAGAATTCACACTGGAGAAAAACCATACAAATGCCAGTACTGTGATAAGAGGTTTATTCAAAAACAAAATTGTCGTTTTCATGAAAGAAACCACACTGGAGAGCAACTATACAAATGCCAGTATTGTGATAAGGCATTTACTCACAAACTGTCATGTACCCATCATGAAAGAATTCACACTGGAGAGAAACCATACAAATGCCAGTATTGTGATCTAGCATTTCCTCAAAAAGGGAGTTGTGTTGTTCACGAAAAAATTCACACTGGGGATAAACCATACAAGTGTCAGTACTGTGATAAGGCATTTACTCAAAATTATATTTGCAGAAGGCATGAAAAAACTCACATTGAAGAAAAACAATATAAATGCAAGTACTGTGATAGGACATATCTTCACAGACAAACGTGCATTGAACATGAAAGAATTCACACTGGAGAGAAACCATTCAAATGCCAGTACTGCGATAGGGCATTTACAAACAAGTCTCTGTGCTCAAGTCATGAAGTAATTCATACTGGAAAAAAAACATACAAATGCCAGTACTGTGATAAGACCTTTGCTCGAAAAAAAGGATGTAAGGCTCATGAAGAAATTCACTCAAGAAAAAAACCATACAAATGCCAGTTCTGTGATAAAAGATTTACTGCAAAACATTCTTGCATTCATCATGAAAGAAATCACACAGGAGAGAAACCATACAAATGCCAGTACTGTGATAAGACATTTCCTCTAAGACAGCATTGGATTAATCATGAAAGAATTCACACAGGAGAGAAACCATACAAATGCCAGCACTGTGATAAGAAGTTTGCTCGAAGAGCAGGATGCACTGCTCATGAAAAAACTCATGCAAAAGAGAATTCATACAAATGTCAGTACTGTGACAAAAAAATGACTACAAAACGATCTTGCAATAATCATGAAAAAATTCACACTGGAGAAAAACCATACAAATGCCAGTACTGTGATAAGAGGTTTATCCAAAAACAAAATTGTCGTCTTCATGAAAGAAACCACACTGGAGAGCAACAATACAAATGCCAGTATTGTGATAAGGCATTTACTCACAAACTGTCATGTACCCTTCATGAAAGAACTCACACTGGAGAGAAACCATACAAATGCAAGTATTGTGATAAGACATTTTCTCAAAGAAGGTATTGCATTTCACATGAAAGAATTCACACTGGTGAGAAACCATTCAAATGTCAGTACTGTGACAAGGCATTTGCTCATAGAAGTTCCTGTACTGGTCATGAAGAAACTCACTCTGGAGAAAGGCCATTCAAATGCCAGTTTTGCGATGAGACATTTACTCGGACATGCCTCCGCGCTGGTCATGAAAGAACTCACTCAGGAGTGAAACTGTACAAATGTGAAAACTGCGACAAAGGATTTACTGATATAAATAAATTTGATTCTCATCAGGTTAGTTACTGTGAGGAGAAACCATACAGTTGTAAGTTCTGTCACAAGATATTTGTCAGCAGAAATGCATGTGATCTACATGAAAAAGATCACACAATAGCACATGGACCTTGTGATACAGGAGTGGACTATGGTAAAAATGTAGGCTGTCCTGATAGTGATGGGATATCCCATAAAGTGGTTAAAAGAGAAAATGTAGGCTGTCCTGATAATGATGGGATATCCCATAAAGTGGTCAAAAGAGAAAATGAGGATTTTGCCCCTGAAAGAGGGCAGGCATTTCCTGTTGCTTTGTTTAAAAATGTTTTTTCAGTGATTCAGGAAAAAAAGCCTGAAGCATCATAAATAGAATATTGTGTTAAAATCTTAAATAGACATAGAAATAATTTATTAATTATGAATTTTTGTGTTTGTCATGATGCTAGTGTTTTTTGCTAAATGAAAAATTTTAATTTTTTTTGTATGTTTACAAGTAATAATAATAAATAAATCAATAATGTTAATATTATAATAAGTGTCATTATTGTAATTATAAACAAGTCACATGTAGTAGTGATATATGTTAGTTGAACTTGAGATCAATTAGTAGCACATTATATTACTGTCATTTAGGTAAATGTTATTATAGAATACTGTTATCTAGAAGAATGGATTTTATTGTATCTTATTCACAAGCATGTTCTAGCTGGCAAAACTACAAATTTGCATAAATATATAAGAATGTGACATTTTATTTTAATACAAAACTCTAGACAACTACATGCATGGTTGCTATAATTAGGAATGATATTGTGCAAGCTGCTAATGCACATACCTTTTCTTCAAGCAATTATTAAGTAAATGAAATAATAATAGCTTTGTTTCACCAGGGATAAACTGGTGCCAGTTGAGTACACTCTGTATGTCATCTGAGAGAGACTTTTATCCACAATGTCCTTGGACAACTGATAATGAAGTATTGAAATTATCAACCATACTGTAATAATTAAATGCAAAATAGCGAACCAATAAAGATATTAATAAGAATAATTATCTTAAGCAAAGTCCAATACAACTTTAAAAAAATATTACATTGTTAAGTCTACATTTAAGAAACAATTAAAGCTTATATATTTATTTATGGCTTTTTTGTCTTTCATATTTTATTAGCAGTATTTTCTCAGTCCACAGTGCAAATGATGCACGTTCTGCCTTGGTAAATTGCGCATTTTTGTTTCTGCTTCCCTAACATGTAATGAACTCTGCGAAAATAAAGCCAACTTTGGATCCTGGGTAAATGTTGATGGTGATTGTCCATTTATCCACGCTTTCGTGATATTCCTCTGCTTTAAAAAATATTTTAGTTCATCACTGGGCAAGGAAGGTCGCTGAAATTATTTTGCATATAAAAATGCATTTTCGGAAAATTTTATACCAGTTAAAAAATTGTGTTGTACGTGAACTTAGGGGAGAAACAGTAGAGAATCTACGTAATACTTCCCACTCGGTGCAAGTGCCAGAAAACGGAGACCACCGCTCCCAGCATCTACTACTATTACTTCCAGTACCTTACTAACTTCCAAAGGGTCGTTAATGTAAACATAAAATGTAAACATAAAATGTAAACAATAAAAAATTCATTTATACATAGGCCCGGCGTAGACCCCAGCCAGTCACTACAAATACGTACGTTGGGTCAGGGATAATCATATATTGATCATAATGTATGTGCGCGGCGGACGAGGGGTTGATGCAAGTTCTTGAAACAAAAAAGAACAGATTATGATAAGCGATTACACTCATTGCCATTTTTATTTTGTATCATTGATAGTAATGAGTTCAAAAAGTGCAAGATTACATGTTGTGTGATGACGTCATCACTTTATGAGCTCCAACTGGGAAAGTATATTAATTTCACATAGGGCCCAGAATAAGCCTTAGTTGAGATTATCTGCCCCTCCTTTGTTTGGTCAAGAATTCATTTAATAGGACATTGGACACGGTAGGCTGCAGAAACTTCCGAAATATATGGATTGCATCTTCTCTAGGACCTGACTACTTTGATACTATTAGCTTAGGGACTGGAGAATTCAAAGTAAAAGGAAGTGGGGAAATGTTTGTCTAGCTGAGCTGCAGATATTTGCTGAGGTCAGTGATGCCGATGGTCCTTTCTTTGTCATCTTGGTAGTACAAAATCCATGTGACTATTTCGGATATTTACCAGCTGTAATATAGACACCAAGGTTTTGTGTTCGTCAATTGAAAATAGAAATTTAGGAGAAATCATAGAAATGGCAGTGTTTACTTTTATTCTGAATATATGGATTTCGTCTTTTATCCACGTAGTAACCATTTGCAATAGTTTAGCTATTTATAAAAACATAATCATATATATATATATATATATATATATATATATATATATATATATATATATATATATATATATGAAGCTGCTTATCAATAAAGAATCTGTATCTTGTTATTTCTATAATTACCTGACACTTTAAATGATTTTTTCCAGGGACTGGACAATTCAAAATGAGAGGTCCTCGCTTCAGAAATGTTTCTGCTTAGCTGAACTGCAGGCAGTTGAAGAGATCATGTTATTGATTAATAACAGACCCTAAATTCTTGATATCTTCTCTTGGGAATATAGAAAGAGAAATTGTAGAAACGGCAGTGTTGACTTTAACTCTGAAAAGAGCTGCATTTTTTATGGATGGAAGAGAAATCGCATTACTAGTAAACAGTTAGTTGTGGCAATAGATTCCATGAAACCCTTTTGTGTTAATTCACCTGTTATAGTACACACGTTTTGAAAATTGTGCAAATACTTTCAGAAAAGTGGGGAGATAATAACCTCATAAGAAAAATTAGCTATTTTTTTTTTCAAAACTCACACTCACATTGAAGAGAGCATACAATAACAACTGCTGAAGAAATTGTGATTTCACCAAAAAGGGATAATGTTTTAAATCTTCTCATTGAAAGACAAACAGAAAAAAGCTAGTAGAAATTCTGTGATCAATTACATCCAAGAAGAAATGGAGAACACCTTGAAAGAAGAGCAGTGGGGAGACTATGAGACATTTGCTGTTTCTCTAAAAAATACTTCTGTTCATGAAAGAATTCAGGATGGAAAAAAAGTACACAAATGTCAGTACTGTGATATGACATTTCCTTATAAATCTAATTGTACTCTCCATGAAAGAATTCACACTGGAGAAAAACCATACAAATGCCAGTTCTGTGATAAGACGTTTATTCAAAAACACAATTGCAGTCTTCATGAAAGAATCCACACTGGAGAGAAACGATACAAATGTCAGCACTGTGATAGGGCATTTACTCACAAACTGTCTTGTACTATTCATGAGAGAACTCACACTGGAGAGAAACCATACAAATGCCAGTATTGCGATACAGCATTTACTCAAAAAAGGAGTTGTGTTCTTCACGAAAGAATTCACACTGGGGATAAACGATATAAATGTCAGTACTGTGATAAGGCATTTACTCATAAAAATGCTTGTACTGGTCATGAAAAAACTCACATTGGGGAAAGGCCCTTCAAATGCCAGTTTTGTGATAAGACATTTACTAGAAAACAACACTGCATAGACCATGAAAGAATTCACACTGGAGAGAAAACATCCAAATGCCAGTACTGTGATAAAACATTTGCTAGAAAACAGAAATGCATTGAACATGAAAGAATTCACACTGGAGAGAATACATACAATTGCCAGTACTGTGATAAAAGATTTGTCATTAAAAACCAGTGCATTGACCATGAGAGAATTCACACTGGAGAGAAACCATACAAATGCCAGTACTGTGATAAAACATTTTCTCGCAAACAGAAATGCACAATCCATGAAAGAATTCACACTGGAGAAAAACCATACAAATGCCCATATTGTGATAAGGAATTTAGAACAAGGAATCATTATGTTCAACATGAGAGAACCCATACAGGAGAGAAACCCTACAAATGTCAATATTGTCTGCAGGCATTTTCTCATAAAGGGAGTTGCAATAATCATGAAAGAATTCATGTTGGCGAGAAACCCCACAAAACTCAGCAGTGGAGTGAGTCATTTGATGTAAAGTCTGATTGTGTTGTACTTTATCCTGAAGTTATTCACAGTGAAGGTAAACCATACAAGTGTAATTTTTGTTACAAGACATTTGTCAGCAAAAATGAATGTGATCTACATGAAAAAGATCACACAATAGCACATGGACATTGTGATACAGAAGTTGACTATTGTAAAAATGTGGTCAGCCCTGATATTGACAGAGTACCACAAAAATTGATCAAAAGTGAAAATGGAGATGATGGTCCAACAAGGAATCAGCCGTATCCTGTGGCTTTGTTTAAAAACGCATTTACTTAAAGTTTAGTCTTAGATATATACTAACACTTTGTGTTGTAGCATTGTGAAGATAATTAACATTTAATGCACAGATAGTTCTGTTTTAAAAATTAGGAAAAATTGGTTTGATGTACACGTTGTAAGTATTAAATGGCAATTCTGCTGATTACTTACTGTTATTTATCTTATTCCTTATGTTGTTTATGTTGACTGGCCATTCATGTAACGCTAAATTATTAAATAAAAAAATTAAAAAGACATCAAATCAAGGGGCAGAGATGAGGTAGGTCATGATGTAGGAGAAGGGGAAAATTGCTTTTCAATCCAGGATAATTCATTTTAGCTGGACAATCCCGTGGATAGCTTGTAAAACGGATTGGAGGTGGTTAATGTTATATTCTTTTGCAACAAACTTACAGGATTTATCTATTAAAATGTGATAAAAGTATATCGTGCTTGTTCTCAGAAAAGTTCAACAAGAATTGAGACACAATTATGAAAATTTGCAAAACCATGAAAAGATTTTAAACATGAATAATTACTAGTATTCAAAATTTCACTCTGGTGACATAGTTGACAAAAAATGAATGTTGTATTGCTCTTTGCTGCCAGTGACAACAAGCAGAGCTATACCGTCAACACATCAAAGGTGAAACTAATCACATACAAAGAAGCCTAGGAACAAACCATTTTGTATGTATGTATGTATGCCAAAAGGTGGGGGTGGGGGTGGGGGGGTTTGGGGGGCAGGTATATCTCCTGAACAGAGGCTATTTCCCTAATAAAGATGTTCTGTTAGACAGGAAATATTGTTCTGCGAGACATGAAATATTGGAGGTAAACGGTTTAAATACTTCAATGTTTATTGCAGAAAATATTACTTAATTCTTGTAACTGTGTTTATTTTTCAATTTATACTTAGTAGCAACCTTTAAAAATGATAGCATATATAATATCAAGAATTCCATCTGAAATATGGACTTTAATTCAGAACAGTTACGCTGTATTGACTGAAATATAACAACTGCTCCATCAATGTAAACAGTACTGATACAGAAATATTTAAACTTTCATACTAAATCACTTTAATATATTCATACTCCATCAATAAATTATAAATTACATAATTATAGCAAATAAATTAATGTTAGTAAAATTATATTGATGTTAGTCTTGTTATCTATTCCAATACCTCCCCTCCTAAAAACTGTTTTATATTTCTGCATGAAATAAAGTATCAAGAAATGTCATCTTACAATTATCTGATATATACCTACATGCCGAAAATACATTCGTAAGTAATATTTCTCAATTTAAAAATTTCTTGTAATAATTTCCTTTGTTAAAAAAAAGAATATATAATCATAAAAAAAAATTTTAGAAACTTAACAACCTGTACATATTAGTTATCATAAGTTTAAGACCTCTCATATAATCAAAAGAACTTGCAAGAAGAGTTCAAAAAATTTATGCCGAATGTATATGTTCCACCAATATATATACTATATACTAATGCTAAATAACCATTAACGCTTCACAATTATCACAATGATTTCAGCAGTCAATAAGTGACTGCCAGCACCTCATGTGTTCTCCTTTGTCCTGAGTCACTGTCATTACTTATTTTATTACATGATCATGTCATGATGCTCACTCATTCATCAAGGTGCAGTCCTGTGTGATGAATTATTTTATTGATTTGACCTCCTATTATCAACTGACTCCATTACCTTGGATCTCTGATGCTTCATCAGTAAGTTTTCAATGTACTCAACAAAATCTCAACGCATCTTTATTATTTTCAATCATCTGAAAACTTTGTGATCATGAAACCAAGCAGTTTTTGACTTAGTAATTAGAATGTAACTTAGCCAGGAGGTGACCTTGGCCAAAGTAAATAAGTGTACAAAGTCTGACTTGCAGTCCAACCTTTCCTGTGCTGCCGATTTCTCCAGTGGTCAACCCTGTGTCCTCTCTGTCATAACTTACTAAGCTGACCACGTATAAGGCCTTCCTGAGCCAGTGAAATCGCCAGCGTTCCATCCTGTCTCCACATACGCCCCAGAGTCATCGCTCTTGCATGACCTGTTTACAACAATGAATGAATAAATTGATAAATAAAACCGGTCAATACTTCATAAAACATCGGGTAATAAAAACAATTAAAGCTGATTTTAAACTAAAATTTTTAAGTTTCATTCTACCTGACTGTGGTGACTCTATCTCAAACACAAGTATTCACTTTACCTGACTGTGGTGACTCTATCTCAAACACAAGTATTCACTTTACCTGACTGTGG